ATTTTAAAACTTGGTAAGATGGACAGTTTTTGCAGTGTACCGCCATCTTCTTATTTTTAGACACAAATCAGTTTCCTCTCCTTACTTTTTGTCTAATTTAGGTAACGAGAGAAAAAYGGCAGCAAGACAAATTCTTACTGTCGTCCCAGAATGCAACACAGCCTTTGTTTTGATCCACTCTGAATTATCGRAACCGATTTTCCAAGAGATTTGTGCAAAAAATACGAGCGTAAAACTGATTTAAACCCAGTTTCTTTCCTTTGAAAGGTCAAAACTCTTTGAGTCTTTAACCAAAATCCTTGAACATTTAGTTTACAAAAAATAAAAACTCATCTGGCTTCTCGTAAATCATAAGAAGGGATGTTGTTACTAGAAAACGGGACCAAACAGCACATTTGTTCAAGGACAAATGATCAGTTCTGTTCTAAAATATGCAACTTTTATCAGTCGTGAAGCACGAGGTGAGTTTCAGTAACAATACGACAAAYTGAACAAATCAAAACATCTATCTTTTACAAATAACACCTCACGCTGTCAGCAACAGTTATGTGGTTTTAATTTGTGAGGAAAGGGTTTTAGGTGGTTTAAAATACCATCAGGAGGCTGGAGGGGACAAAGACAGCTCAGAGTTCTGAAGGTTTGTGAAACTAAACAAAACAACACGACACAGAAAACATCAAGACAGTTTTAAAATTCTGTTTTTCCACATTAGTTCTGAGTGTCACCTTGTCTAGAAAGTCTTTACAAACAGCAACGTCACGCTGACGGAAAAATATAACTCCTTCAATAAAACAAGTAATTTGTTAAAAATAACTAAGATTAGGTAACTTTTGATTATTTGACTAATATCTTTTGTTTTAAATTGTTTTACTTTATTCAAAGATTTGAAATGTGTAAAAATGTAAGCACATTTGGAAAATACACCTTTAAGCACAAATGTTATTCTGCTTTTTTATATTTGAATWAAACTTTGTGATTTTTGCTGCTATATGTCAGGAGTGCAACGATAGAAGATTCCTGGTTCGACACTTTAGTCTCACAGTTTGATATTTTTTCGATACAAAAAAGACAAATGTCCATGCCCTTCTTAACTTGTAGTATATTGAGATTAATCATGAACATTTGTTTAAACTCAAAAGTACAGTTTTTACATTAAAAGTTGCTGAAACAGCAAGTTTCTCAGAGGATCTGTGCTCGACAACACAGCCTAGGTGGAGTAGTCGAACACAGATCCACTGATCCTTCAACACAGAGCATCTTCAGAAGACAAGTTGATATGCGTTGTTCGATAGTGCGTATTGAACCTAAAAGCACTGTTTGATACAGATACATGTATTGTTGCACCCCTAATATTGTTATTTTTATTTAAAGAGAAACTAATGAAACTAATGCAAACAAAGGGTGTATTTTCCTTTATGATTCTAATTGTGTTGTTTTTGTCGTCACGTCGCTGCTGTCGTCTCCCCRGTCGGTCGACACAGAGCCTCCGTCTCACCGGCAGCTTCGACGGGAGATCCTTCCTCTCCCTCTTCCTCCTGCCAGTCGTCCTCATCTTCCTCCCCTTCACAAGGGTCTTCTAAAGGATAGATACCTAGTTTCTGCATTTGTGCTTCAGCCATCTTCTGCACAGCTACACACAAACACAGACACACAGGAACACAGGGACACGAGGACACAGGGACAGAGGGACATGTTGTTTTTTGGGGGTTTGTCATTTTTTTTTTACCACGCTTCAACAGTCACTTTGCTTTTCGACGCCAGGCGAGCAGGAAGCCAGTGAAGAGCGTGCACCGACAGACAGAGGGACGATATAGATTTTTAGCGATCTTTTTACAGGCTGGTTAGGGATGTTTTAACCAAGCCATATTGTTACACATCCTTTCACGTGTATGATGTTCAAATTTCATGTAGCTAGCACTTTCCTTTCTCAAGTTATGACTAAAATTAATCTAAAAAAACACGTTATTTCCTGCCCGACTCGACCAAGCGACTCCCCGCTCCTCCAGTCTCCTCAAACCCCACCGTCAATCCGACCAATCACACCTAATGGGCCATCTTCGCCCACATTAAGACCGCCGCCAATGACGATTTGGGATGTCTCCACCCACATGACAACATGTTCTGCTGAGACCCCTACTTGAAGTTTCTTGAAAAGTTTCTGGGGTTGAATTTATATTTTCAGATCTTCCAAGGTGCCAATTATGGAACTCTCTGTGCATTGCTGCCCAAATCAAATTCTGGAAG